ACAGGCTGCTCTCTCTCTCTCTCTCTCTCTCTCACTCTGTGTGTGTTTCCTACAAGCTTGGTGAAACATGGGAAGAATGTGATGAAATGACTGACAGTTATGGAGTGTGAAGTTTTGTTTGTTTTTTTCTTTTCCTAAATATCAAAGGGACACAGTCTGACAGAGCGTTCCAGGATCTTTGTAAACAGTTCTGAATTTCTAAAATCCATTGACCATTGACAGTTCCATTTCAATGTACGTTAGTCTATGTGTCATGAAAACCAGACTGTGTGTGTATGTACTGTATGTGTATGTGTGTGTGGGTGTATTCACACACATCGTTGCTTGTGTGAAATATCAGCGAGAACGCTGCAGCCAACAAATAAAGGAATCATATTCCATGTCATGACTGAAAAGGAAACAGGAGATTAAATTGTGGAGCGTGGGCCAGAAATAGAACCGTATATTAAATTGCACGTCTCAAAAATAAATAAATAAATAAAAAGACACCGCCCGTGTTTATAAGAAAGTGCCAAATTTCTAAAGATGTATTTATGAATTGGCTCTCAAGGTTTCCAGAAGCTCTAGTTACATCAAAATACACAAGATATCCCATCTATTCATACTGTAGACCTCTTGTTTTTTTCATCAGATAGCGCCACCCAGAGGTGAGCATGTCAATCGGCCTAATACTACTGGCTGAAAAGCCCCGCCCTGACTTCACTATGATGTGATGGTGGGTAATTATGTGAATATAAACATTTCTGCCAGCATCCACCTGTGTGGTTTACATGAGGGGCGGGGGCCCTTAATGTCCACTGAATCAGTCTGCACTGTTGCCTCCGTCTCTACATGTTAAACACCGAGTGCTGAGCCTGAGCCTCTCGTCCTGAAGGGATCCGTGAAGCTGCATAAATCAGCCGAGAGAACGGATCCCAGAGGTCGGAGCGCGTCAATAAAAAAATCACCAGTTTATCCACAGGACATTAATGAGAATATGTTCCTGCTAACCTCGTTACATCAAGAAAAAAAACATACCCAAGATACACAAAAACATACCCAAGATACCCAACATACCCATAACCCAAGTTTTTTTTTTTTCCGACTCAAGCTGAGCTGATTATGAATGAGGTTAATTTGGCTTTTTTTTTAAAATCTGACTGCATATGAGGGCTGTGTACAGTGCCTCCATTATTACCCTAATGTGTCCCTGTGGCTAACAGCACACAATCACTATTTAATCATGCATTAGCAGGACACTAATTGGAAAAGGAATATGTGTAGCATTACATGAATGGAGACATTAGCCGTGCAGAATTTAGACCATTTGGAGAAAGAGAGGCTAATGAGCAGAGAGAGAGAGGCAACAAAGACAGGATGACGGAGCAGATGAGCAACAGGTTTATGGATGGAGCTGGAAATGATGGAAATGCATTGTTTTTCATAAGTGCAAGTAGTAATGACGGGGNGCGGGGAGTTCGGATAAGATGCCTTTGTTGTTTGCGTGTTTGTCCGTTCTCTGGAGTCCAGACTGTCTCTCTGAGAACGTAAAGTCACTCCTTTGTTTATGTCTGGACATCCTGCCAGTGCTGACCACACCCAGAGCACAGAGTGAGAGAGAGAGGGAGAGAGGGAGAGAGACAGAGAGAGGGAGAAAGGGAGGGAGATACCTTACCAAGTGAAGGGCAGAACCAGAGTGTATCTAAATTGTCTTCTTAATATAACAAATATTGAGTCAAAGGCTTTTTGTTGTGGAATAAAAACAATGATATATAGAAACTTGAACACTTAGTATCAGGAAAGAAAACGTATGTAACTGAAGTTAAACAATGTCTATGTAGTCGTTTGGTAGAATGTGGAATGAGCCTTCAAATTTTAAATATATATTTAATTCATAATTTTCAGCAGTTGTAGCAGTAAATACGTCTCTGTCTCTGACCTGTTGTTGTCAATGCAAATCCCAGATGTTTGAAAAATAAAGAATAGGTGGAAAAGGTTGTTAACTGTGTGTGTGTTCGTGTGTGTGTGTGTTTGTGTGTGTGTGTCCTGGCCCTGCTCCATATTATCTTTTAATAACGTCCCATATATTTCATTTAAAATGAACCCGCTGAACCTCTGACACACTTTATTCAACCTGTCAACACTGTGTCTACAAACTACGTTGGTCCACTGCCCGGCTGTGAAGAGGCCAAATACTTTCATCTCCTTTAAAATAATCAAAAACTCTGCCCCACTGGAGTGTGATTAGGTTTACATGTCTGGGCAGACATCCAAACACTTCCCTCCTCCTCCTCCGTCGGCCAGAGAAACTGTCAGGTCATGTTGGACGTGACCACATCACACTGCAGCCAATGTCGTCGGGTAAAGGCGGCATTTTGAATGCATGTCAACACTCGTGGTGCTGTCCACAGTCTTAAGTGGCACTCGGTCAGATCTTGTGGGTTTCAATGTGTCCAACACAATAATCAGAGGTCGCTATTTTGGCTACAAGCTTGAGGAACCATTGATTTTGTAAAGTTTCGCAGATAATAATAAATAGAAATTAAGGCTGTTTAAAAATACATTTTTGGTTTTAGTTTTCATTGCTAAAAAAAATACATTTTTGGTTTTAGTTTTCACTGTGTATATTAACGCCTAAAGAAGATCAAGTTTTTGTTTAAGCTCTACAGTCCCTCACAATCCCCCTGACCAATGACAGCTCTAGACCTCATCTACTGCTACTTCATTTTTTCTGCATTGCATTCATGAAAATTCCCAGCTTTTATCTGCAAGAAAAAATGGAAATCATTTGTTTTGGATTTGTCTTCTAATTGTTTCTATCCAAAAATAAAACACCATAGACATCATTCTGCACAGACGCACAGATCAAATTTATGAGGCGGAAAAACAACTTACACCACAGAACAAACCATTTCCACCACAGCGTCCGATGGTCTCTTTAGATAGTTAGCCCAACTGTCAAACAACAACGTCATGATTTATTTAACAGCCGTCGCCGGGCATAACTCTCCCAAAACACATACATTTTCAGGCCACCGGTGGTGTATTTCACACTGCAGAGTGGAATGCCCGGTATATTGAACTCTGGCCATAACTGCTCAGCAAACATTGGCAGGTATGCTAAATGTTTATCTTTTGAATATTTGAAAAAAGTCTATGTGGAGCTAAGAGATA